AAGCTGATTATAATTACTTTTCTAAATCTTAGAATGCTACTACTGATAGGTAATATTTCTGTCTCCTTTCCCAGCAGACCTGATCAGTTACTTATTCCTTCAGTTTTTTCATCTTAAGTCACCAAAGGCTTTTTGCATGAAAGAAAAAGGAGACAAGTATGACCAAAGGGCGTTCAGTGCTTGCACCTAGGAGAGCCTCCATCCTTCCTGTAGTCACAATGGAATTCTCACAACTTGGGAATGGTGCTGAGTGCAGTGCAGAACTTCACCTTTTCATTCTAAGAGTTTTATAGATAAAATGTAAAAGCAATCACACTTACAATTGGTGTAGCAATCCCAAAATCTCTGGCCTCTGTAGGATGGTTTACATATCCAGTAAACAGGACAGCACTGTAGCTTTATTGTGAAAAGAAAATTCCAGCGCTAAAAGCTGGCTTTTTGTAGGACACATACAGGACTTTCCTGCATCTTAGCTCATCCAACAATTCCTTGTTGTCTTGGACAACAAGCAGTAGGTTAGCCTCACTAAGTTGAAAGCATATAACAAAGTTGCCACATCCTAGGAGGAGGAAAGACTATACTGTCTTTTCAGCCAGAGTATAACCAATGAAAATACAGAAGTTATAACTAAGAAATATACAACAAAGTTAGGCTAAACAAGTTAGCACACTACAGAAGAACAGATGGAAAGCTTACTCTTGTCCTGGGCTCACTGAGAAGACTCCAAGAGGAGCAATCTCCAAAAGAGATTCTTCCCTACTGGTAGTCAGCTCTTAAATGGGGTTCTAGGAGAGGTGGAGCCAGGCTCCATCCCTTCCAGTAGCACCGGTGAATTACCTTCACCTGTGCTCCCAGGACTGACTCATTCCTGACTCATAAGAGTCCAGGATTTCATAATCAACTCACTTAGAAAAGCCAAAGAATAGTTATACAGCTGACACATTTTAGACATATTGACCAATGTCTGTGCTTGTTATGTTAATGATTTATTCCCACTGACTAAGTCATCAAATCTCTGGCTAAATGGCATAGCACTTCAACTCTGGTTATGGAATTTGCTTCTTTAAGTTGTAAGGGCACACATACAGGGTACGCATTGTCCTGTGTAACACAAGACAGTGAGACAGGTAGAGTATTCTTTGACTTGGATTGCTAGCTACTCTGACAGGTGTAGCTTCATCATGATATATCAGCCTTGGCTTAACAGTCAATATACCCCAAAATATTCCCCCAATCTTACTGAAAATAATTTTAAGACTTTTGAGAAAGACTCAGCAGCTAACTTTTCTGTCCTATATAAATCACTTGATAGCACTAGAATTACAGATGGAATAGACATTTCTAGACTGGGTTTGGCTTACAGATATATATATATACTTTGGCAACTCTCAAAAGTTGAGTTTTCTCCTTGGTATCCAAAGTTTATCTTACTACAGTCTTTCTTCCCAGATAAGATGCATAGGAATTTGGGCTGATCCCTGAATTAAAAATATAGTGATCATTAGCTTTTATTTTATTTCTTGCTCTAGAGATCTCTAATATTAACCATGGTGACACGTAACACTTCTCAGAGATATCAGAACACGCCAAAGCATGTTTTCTTACAAAGTGAATTAGATAGGCCTGGACCTAATTTCAGGAATGTCTGTGCTTGGAAATCAAAATTCCAGTGGCAGTGGACACAACATAAAGACTTTCGGAGCTTGAAGTTTTGCAATTCAAGCAAGGCAGCCATATGGTGATGCAGAAACACAGAAATTAAATGTTTCAGGTTAAGATTCTGTCTGTATCAATTAATCATTTGACTGACATCTAAGATTTGGCACGGACCTAAACAGAAACATCATATTATTAGTAACATAATTTCACTTCATAGGCCACCCCAGGTTTTCCAGTGGCTGAGTGTCCTTCTACACTCTAATTCACGTGAATCTGAAATAGAAGATATACTTGGACCATTTGCCTGCTATTTATGCAGCAATCTACCAAAAATGTGAAAAAAAAAGTGTACACAAAAAAAAAAATAAATTAAATCTATTTATATAGATTTTCTGATTTTGTTGATTTTGCTTTTGTTTGTTTGCTTTTACAAACAGCTGTCTATAAACTCAAAAACTATTTCAACGCAATTATATTTAGTGAAAATAGGATTTTCATTCATGGCAAATATAAACAATTTAATATTATAAAAGAGAATCTCATTCACAGTGGAATATATTCTGCAAGTGTTACTTTCTCTACATTGTCAACAATTAACACTAGATCCCATGTACATCATTGAATATGTAAATTGATATTTTCTACTTGAAGTCAGATTCTTACAATATTAATTCTTGCAAAAACTATTTTCTTTTTTTCAAGTAGTTTCATACAATGTTCTGATCTCATTTACCTTAAAAAGAAATGTCTGCTTTTATAACCAAAAGGAAAAGAGAAAAAAAAAAAAAAAAAAAAAAAAAGGAGAGGGAGAAATGCATTAAGTGATTGTAGAAGCAAATCAACTCAACTGGGGCACCACGACCAAAGCAAGCCCTGTAATAGTATAATGACCTTTAATGAGTGTCTGGGGAAACAATACAGTCCTAGCATAAAAGACAAAGGGCAAAACCCATCATGGCTCCACTGACACTAATTTAAAATGATTTTCAGAACAACTAAAGAATGTAAGAGAGGTAATCTGATCCACCAATCTGACCTCACTTTGATTCTGGGGCCATGCTGCTGCCATTTCTAATTGTCAAACACTCTACATTTCACATCTGCTCATATTTAATGAAAAGCTGACTCTCACCACCACTCTTTGAGTTAACCAGCTCTGTCAAGATGGGCATCATACAACCCCTGTGCACTGCAAAAAAAACACAGTGATTTCTGTTGAAGCCATGCCAGTGAAATTTTGCATGTGTATATATACTTTTTAATTGGAAAAGAAAGGCTTCTGCTGGCATATAAAGAACATGAATTGGTATTGATTTTTGTACTTATTATTAACAGTCAAGGGTGACTAGTCTCAAAAGGGGAAGAGTGAATTCTCTTCTGATTTGATGGAGTGATGAAGGGGGGAAAAGGCCTTTGAAAGATAGGATGGTAAAAATACTCAAAGTTGTCAATACCATTTATCCTTCAAAATATCACATAGATTTAGCAAGTTTCCCAACAGCACTGTTTTTGATGGCAATAACACCATGCAATGGAGGTTTTTGGCCCAGCTAGCAACAAAATAAAAAAATGTTTACTTTTACTGCCTTAAGTGAATTCAAAAGTCTTAAGTGAATTCAAAAGTCATTTTGAATTCACAACAAATTATGTTGTGTTTTTTGTTGCTTTTTTTTTTTCCTTGCCAAACAGTGCTTATGGCAGAAATTTCACTTATCTGTAGGGGACTCACTCATTTATCCCCATCTGGTAGCTGTTAACACTCACACTGGGACCTAACCACTTAATCTCTGTACTAGTCTGTATTAATGCAAACAATACCAGACAGTGTTACAGAGGCTGTTAGGTCATAGAAGTAACACTGCCTACAGTAACTCTCGATCCAGGAAAGTTTCACAGTCACTGTTCTTAACAAACAAGTATGATTTTCTGTGTTTTACTCTCAATACAGGGCTCTCTAAAGGATAAAAAACTCCTATAACTTGGAATAATAATTTCAAATGGCTCTTCCCTTAGCGAACTCCCACCAAGTAAATAAAAATGACATTCACAGTGCTTGTACACATAAACCGAGAAGATTTCTGCCAAAATTCCTATGAAATTCTATTAGAATCAATTTAATTGAGACAGTCTTCAGACATAAAAATGATAACAAAGTATTGGTAGATACACCACATCTCTGTCTGGAAAAATATTCAAATGTAAAAATAGCTACAGCAAAGTCATTTACTACATGGACTACACATTGCAATAAACTTAAGGCATCAAAAAGCAACCAGATGCATAATCTAACTAACTATGCAATGTTCTTAATAGTGGAATTTGTAATGACTTGTAATGTAAAGTGGACATGCTTTCTCATCCAAACTCCTAAAATTCCTTCTGAATAACTTGTCAGTTTTACTTTGCATTTGGTTAGAGAAAGCGAAACAAACACATCCCAAGATATAGTTCTACCTGTAATGGATGTCTGAAGAGGATAAGAGAGTGAGAAAAATCACTGTTTAACAATCTTTCTCAATAGTTGACATCATATAGATGAAGGAAGCTTTAGAATCCCTATGGCTTACCTGAAGAATTAATGGCTACACAGAGTTCTAATTTTTCTCTTTTCCCCCTCAAACTCTAGTCTTTCAAAAGAGCTTTTGGAGCATATTCCAGAATGGTACTGTCCTGCTGGAAAGATTTTGCTGCTAATTTCAGACTGTTTGCATTACAAAGTTTCCATCAGGTGAGTCCTAAAAAAAATCACTACAAAATGTAAATCAATTTTACTAAGGTATCAGCAGCGTCAATATTAGATGGAAGATCCTGTTTTATTAATTATAAAGAGCTACAAACCCAATTAAAGATAATGGTAGCAGTCTAAACTAGAATGTCAGCTACTACAACTAAGCAGTCAAGTTGTATCCTGTACATTTATTCACTGACTATTGTACACTCCTATGCTGATTGTACTATTTGCATCTGCCCACTTAGCACATCACAGATTTAGACACAGACCTGTTCCTCCAATAACGCACATATTGGTTAATAATTAAAATTTATATTGTGTGAATTAAATTAAAAAGATATCACCAAATTGCACTACTACGTTCCTGCAAGCTATTGCAAGAGCATGCTTCATAAAGAGCACAAAAAGCAAAATAACAAATTACATTTTTCATATTAAAAATAAATAGAAACAGAAATATAAATACAGAGCTGGATTAAAATTTGGCCTTGAATTTTTTAAAAAGCATCAGCCCGATAAAACTCACAGAACTACAATGTACGACACAAGACGGGGATGATACCACAGACACCACAGACATGGAACAGCATGTGTTGGTGTTAAAACTTAC